TTATGCTTTGCCACACGCTATTTTGAGATTGGATTTGGCTGGTCGTGACTTGACTGATTATTTGATGAAGATTTTGATGGAAAGAGGTTACTCATTCAATACTACTGCTGAAAGAGAAATTGTCAGAGATATTAAGGAAAAGCTCTGTTATATTGCTTTGGACTTTGAAGCTGAAATGAAGGTTGCTGCTGAATCATCATCAGTTGAAAAGTCATACGAATTGCCAGACGGTAATGTCATTACTGTTGGTAATGAAAGATTCAGATGTCCAGAAGTCTTGTTCCAACCTAACTTCATTGGTATGGAAGCTGCTGGTGTTCATGAAACTACTTTCAATTCAATTGGTAAATGTGATATTGATATCAGAAAGGACTTGTACGGTAACGTTGTCTTGTCTGGTGGTACTACCATGTTCGAAGGTATTGCTGAAAGAATGACCAAGGAATTGACTGCTATGGCTCCAGCCTCTATGAAGATTAAGGTTGTTGCTCCACCAGAAAGAAAATACTCTGTCTGGATTGGTGGTTCCATCTTAGCGAGCCTTTCGACCTTTCAGCAGATGTGGATCACAAAGGAAGAATATGAGGATGCCGGTCCAGGTATCGTTCACAGAAAGTGTTTCTAAATTGGCACTTTGTATAGTCAACTGTCGAGCTCTGTAAAAATAAATCTGTAATTTAAATGAATTTTTCAAAAATGACTTGATTTTAGGAATCTACATGGTTTGTTTGTGGGCAGGTGTTTGAATCTTTGTAAATTGTAAAGTAGTTATGGGGAAGGCAACGATTGAAATTAGAGAGCTAGAAAATATTTAATTGGCAAAAAAAATAAATGAACAACCTCAAAATAGAAATATTATCATCTACTTTATTGTGTGAGGTGACTTTAGGATTGCCCGGGAGAACCTAACCATCAGAAATCCAACATAAATAGGACCTAAATTGTTTGCTCTTGAAGATTGTACTCTTTCTACCTCATTTCAGTTCAGATAGTACCCAAAATCTATGTGGCTCTTCCAATTAATCATAGCATGAATCTCTCCTCATTTTATTGGGTTTGGTTAGGATTCAGAGTTGATTTATTTGGGTTATTTAAGAGATTACTTAGTGAAGATTCATATCATTGATTATAATTCTTATCATCTATTAATGATGTAAATTTGATGTTTTCATTTCTTATATTGATAGATATTTAAAGGTCCGGTCAGTACTAACTTTTGAATTATGGACTTTGAGAAAATTCAAATGTTTGGGACGTGAATCTACTCGTTAGATTGAATATGTATTGCTAATAAAGGAACATTTCATTGATTTATTGAATATAACGGTCAAATTGAGTTGAATGGAAGTGAATCACATGTTGATTGATCGTGGATGGGTAGTTTCGCCACGAAGTGGTGCAACTACCAACCTTTGTAGATTGAATCTGGTTGATTTGCATGCAATATGAATAAGTAACATTATCAAGAGTGATTATTCACCAATTCAATATTCAATATTCAATAATCGGTTTGATTTCAATCAATAGCTTGATCAACAAGCTTTGAATTAATATTCCAGTAATTAACGGCAGTCTATTTTTAAATTTAATCAAAGACCATATATAGTATCTTGACTTTTATGATCTGGAAACTATCTAGATGTGTTCTATATTGAATAATCTATTTGTAAATGAGAAGAATTAACTCTTCTATTGAGTTTTATTGGTATTGCATGGTATTACGATTATAATAATCTACACAGAAATCACTCTTGAAATATAAACTGTACTATAATGTATGCGAAACATAATGGTGGTAGAATTATTCAACGACTCGTTGAAATGACTGAGATGGAATGTAAACTATGGTCTATTTGTCATGTAATGGTGACTTGACAGTGTCAATTTCATCAAATTATATCAAACTGATACATTCAATAATAAACCGTTCTATACATCAAACCTGTCCTATGGAATGAGTTTCAATATTTAATATTGTGAACTGACTCTGTTGGATACCATCCCTATAAATATAACAAGATGAAAAGTGTCAACATTCAATTACACATATGGAGTGTCATCATTGTATCATCTAGACAGATAGCATTTCAAGTTTCGGTGGAATTGACTGTCTACATATTGAGATGTGTATTCTAAGGTTTAAGAAGTGTCACCTTCACTGATTAGTGACATGAATATAACAATTGAACATATGATTCTTGTATCAATAATTCATTGTTCAATGATTGTGATATGATGGTAAAATTTAATTTTGGAAATATGATTCTTCCCTATTGACAACCTTAGATGTTCCTTTGTTGACTTGAAGATATTGAGCCATCAACATGAAACTTTCTCAGATTGTTGTCCTCATCAAGGGAAGTGTATTCATGTTTGACACTTGTATGATATTTTGTAAATTGACTGAGATGGTATACAATCTATATGTTGAAATGTGACAATTTGACAGATTGTTATTATTATCCTACTGAATTCAGTTCTAACAGTATGTAATTGATACCATATGTATAATAGTGTGATTAAATGTATCTGGTAAAGTTACATGATGGTTGGATGTACTTTCGCTGAGATAGAGCGTACACTTGGATATATATACTGTTGACATTGAACATTTACTGATTGACTGAATTAAAGTATTATGAATTGTTTTTAAACTTGTATAGATGTATATACATGGCGTATAGAATGTGTGTTATCAATTCTAGACTAATTACATATAAAATAAGTGATTTGGAGCATAATCTTTGATTTTATGTCAAAGTTCTATAGTATGGCGAAAACCTAATCACATAAAACGAACGGCTAATATTGGCTATCCAGTTCTTATATATGTATTATTAAATACATTAATATATCTATTCTGTAATACACGTGAAAAAACTCCCCGTAGTTATTGAGATAATCAAAAATGGTCAACTCAAAAATTCTTAGTATATCTATTATCTCTGCGACGAGAACGTTCCGGATTATGATTCACTCAAATATCAATCTATACGAGTTATGGAAGAAATGATAGAAAATACTAATTTTTTTAATTCGCCGTTCCCGAGATAATTGAGTCCTAAAGTGACCCCATGGGTTGAACCTCCCTTGGGTCTGACAAAGTTGAAAATTTCAAAGTTGGGCCAGAATGAAACTTTTGATATATTGTAGATATATATATGAATAGATGACATTATCAATTAAACTTGTTGAATCGGTATATTAAATAAACTACAACATGTCTAAAAATTAACTTTTCAACATTTATTGTACTATTATATGAATGTTATTAGAATCATCACCAATCTCATATATATGATGCATTATGATAATATCTACCTTTTAGAAGTGTTTGAAGTATAATATATGATATCCTTAGTATACTGTAATCATTCTACCTTAATTGACCAAGATATTGAGCCATACTATGGAAATACTCTCCCATTTATATTAACTCATAGATATTGTAGTAAATGTCAAATATAATCATATATAATTGAAATAATCATTATTGGATCAATATTCAGACTGTAGGAAGTCAACTTGTGTGAAATTGACAATATTGGTTATTGAAGGATGAATATCTTACATGACTTAATTCCACTCATTGATACATGTCTAATTATCATGATTTATGATATTCAATTGAAATAATTGAAATTTATCATATATATAGGGAGATAACCAATTAGGATGAAAGTAGGGGAAATTACGCTCACTTTTTACCAGGTAAACACTTTCAATAGGGACCTATATATTTTATTTGATAATATCGTTTATCTATGCATTTTATCGACAGATAATTGGTTTCATGATTTAATATTCTATATTTCCAATTTGGGAAATGTTGCAATGTCTAATCTCAATAGAATTATTGCCATAACACCAATTATTGATTATATGTTATGAAACTGATATTATAGACTCTATTTGATGTAAATATGAATATATAATTGAAATTTTTCAACTTTGATATTTCTTAATGACATGGGTAGTTCACTAAGGTAGTAACTTTGTCATATGACAACTATCTAAGATGATATTGAAATCATTCCATAACTGATATTATGGTAGTATTTGATGATTATAACATGATAGTAATGAATTGGAAGTGATTCTTACCATTCATGACATGTAAGAATGTTACCTTTGGTCAATTAGGACAGTAGCTTGACAGATATTCCAATTATATAGATATTGATTTCTACCACTCAGAAACGTTATAAATATCATTTATAAGAGTAGTGGTATGATATACTATCTTGTTTCAACTCTTGATATTGACTTGTCATATTGCCATGAGTAGTTGCTGACATGGTTGAATGACATGAATATTGAATGATGTCCAAATGATATGAAATTGATAGGAACCTCATTATATGAGGTTAATAACATGTTGTATCAATTTGGTAATGAATCTCATTGTCCTTAGGGTACTTCGCTATTGAGGTACCTTAATTGACTATCTCAATATTTAATATGAGATATGATATTTATTTCAATTGTATCATGTTATATATGTTATTTGAAGCATTTTGATATCAGTTTTGATATTTAAATATGATTTATTAGATATTATATATAGCTACTCTTAGTTTTTCAAAATTGA